ATCATAACTTAATTCAATCTAACATAGAAAGAAGAAAATTAAAAGTCCAATATGTTATTCAATAACATATACCTTGAAGCGTAGCCATTGAATGAAAGTGCTATTGTGCTTATCCTGCAGCCACTTTGTTCTCTTTCTAAATTTTGGATAAGCGGTCTGGATGTGGATCATATGTTGCCTACATGACACACAAAATTCAAGTATTACGGTCCCAAACATATAAGATAAACATAAGAAATAATTTAAAATGGAAACTTAAAGAATAAAACACATACGTACTCGATATAAGGTACGACTTCCTCCGTATTCTCCAAGACATATAGATGTGCTTGGTTCAACAAGTCCCGATCAACTACGCTCACTGTGCAACCTGATCATGGCTTTGAAACTCCCATCTTTTGGCTTGAAGGCACTCCAACTGTACTAACATCAGATACATGCTCGGTACAAAACTCTATAGCTTCTTCAGCTATATACCGCTCAACAATGCAACCTTCGGGAGGAGTACGATTCTGAACATACCCCTTTAGCACTTTCATAGATCTTTCAAACAGATACATCCATCTAAAATATACTGGCTCATATAGACGAACTTCTCTGACAAGATGTACTACTAGATGAACCATGATATCAAAGAATGAAGGGGGAAAGTACTTCTCAAGCAAACACAAAGTAACTACTACATCTTCTTCCAACTTATCTAGCTTGGAAATATCAACAGTCTTTGCACATATAGTATTGAAGAAGAAGCACAAACAAGTTATTGCATACCTTGCAGGCTTTTCCAAAACAGAACGAATTGCCGCAAGGAGCAATTGTTGCTTTAAGGTATGACAATCATGTGATTTAAGGCCAAGAAGTCTTGAATCTTGTAAAGATACAAGATTTTTTATATTTGAAGAATAACCTTCAGGGACCTTCATACCATAGAAAGAATTGCAAACCTCTCTCTTCTCTGCTCTTGAAAAATTCCAAGGTCCGGGAGGCAAACGAGTACGTCTTTCTCCATATTCGGGTTGCAAATCAGTTTTGACCCCCATGTTCAATAAATCTAATCAAGCAGCAATCCCATCTTTTTCCAAGGATCTCCAGCAATGTACCAATGATACTATCGCAACTGGTTTAGGACGTTCAGCTGTACCCTACACAAGCGTATTGTAGATGCTCTAAAGCCTTGGAAGTCTTCTTTCTCCAAGCCTCGAACTGACAAGCGTTTTCTGGTTTAGGACGTTCAGCTGTACCCTACACTACATCCCAAATACCTCTAGCCAACAAGTAATTTTTAACCAATGCACTCCAGTACTCATAGTTATCTTCGTTAAGAACTTCCACAACAATTGCATCGGCAGGAACCACAGGTTTCACCATTCTTACTGATACGAGCTGCTGACACTTGACCCGGCTTGCTATTTTTGTTGTTTTTGTATTTTGGTCTCAGATAAAAGTTTACAACTCAGAAGAGTAAAGGATCTCATCTTAAAGTAGTTTACTCTTTTTATATTTGAGTCTTGTTGAAGACTAAGTAAAATTCCCCACTAACACCATTTAACCATTTAATGGTTTCTGAATTAATTTTCTTTATACGAGCATGCCACTGTTGGCAGATGGTAAAATACTGTTGGGGGTTGAGTGCATTGGTGTATTAAGAATCAGGCCTTTTCTTTTCAAGCATTCTTTAAGTACTTACATTCCTTATTCTTTTTCTTTTTCTTTTATATATATCTGGATCAGCTTAAGTTTTTCAATAGGAAAAATAACGAATCAGAATCAGCTTAAGTTTTTCAATAGGAAGATTATACATTACCAATGTGGAAGTGGTGGCGCCTTTCACTTGTTCTTTTCGTTGCTCGATCTTTGTATGTAGCAGGCAGAGCCCAAAACAAAGTCAAACAACTTCAAGACTTGATCCCAAATTCTTTTCTCACACGCTTATCTTCACCGAGAATCACAACATATTTTCAGGGATATGGGGAGGGAAGCAAAAGCTTATCCAACAATTATATCTTCACAAGAACAAATAAAATAGATATTGAACTTTCAGTTTTATTATAGGATACCAAACACATACATGGCATGGAAAATGCATACGAGCTTCTTAGAAGTTACAACATTACGAAAGTTATACATTACCACTTACACGTACCATCAAGAAGTTATGTCCATGATTTCACTTTCCTATCAAATATTGCTCTTCCAAGTAGAAGAATTTATGCCCTTGATTTCACTTTCCTGTCAAATATTCCTCGTCCATAAGTAGAAATGTACATCTCAACTAGAAGAGGAAATTGCATCCAAATAAATAAGGTGACTGGAACACTAGCAACGAAAATCATTGGAATAACAATCCACGATTGTTCATGGATCATAATGAAAAGGGCAGAAGAAAAGGCAACCATCATGGTGGCAATAGAGATGAATAAGGTGGAAAGGCCTATTATCATCTTTGTTGGCAAGGATTTAAGGAAATCATCTTCCGCATAACGTGATGTAAGGATTCCCAAAAACATCAACACCGAAGTTGTGGAAGAAAAGAGGGATACAGCATCTGAAACTATAAAAGCCATAAACAACTTTTTATGCAGGAATATTGGGAAGCCTGTTTGTCCATTGTTTCCACCGGGAATTGTGAATGCTGCAGCAAACATGATGGTAATAATGAGAGCACCTACAACTGTACATGAAGATGCAGTTTCTTTCATCCATCTTTCTCCTTCCTTCGCCAATTGGTTGTGATTCTTGGTAAACATCTCACGTGGCATCTTATGCTCCTTATTTAAAGATTCTTTAATCAAGGGTACTACAATATTCTCGACCTCCTACATTTTGTTGAACAAAAGATTCATATGAGTATAAGAGGTTATTATTCTAATTTTCCAACCAACCCTTGAATTTTTTAAATTTGATAGGCCATATAAACCTAAACCATTAGAGAACAGAGAATACAATGTTGATGATTAGAGAGTACTACCTTTATTTCTATTTTTCTTGTCATTCTACATTTTTTGTTTCTATAGGCTAGTTTAACTCCTTCTATGTTGCATTGGTTTTTGACTAGAAAATGCGTTCGATGCTCCTTTAAATTGAAACATTAGTTTTCAATATTGGAATGAATAAATTTAATAGTAAATTGAGCTTAGACCCATAAAATTCATTTTAAATCACCTACAACCCTTTCCTTTAGTTTTCTATTTAAAATACCCAATTTTTTCAAATAATACCCGATGACTAGGATCCAACTAAGGAAGTTACCTAATATAACTAAAAATCTGATTTATTATAATTTTAGGATTCCAAAACTAACCCTATTTTCGTTTGGGGGGGGGGGGCGTAATTAATGATACCGGTTCA